ATATATATATATATATATATATATATATATATATATATATATAATGGTTTCAAATTGTTTGGGAAATGTTTTAATTCCTAGGATTCATGTGAGTAAAGAGTGCAACACTGTACCTTGCAGCCGAAGGAGAGATCCTCTCTTGTCGGGCAGTGTTGAATCATCAAGGGCTGAGGGGTTAAGTGTAAGACCATTGAGGGTTATACCTGATGAGCTAATCATGCATCTGCCCACAGTCCTTGGGCCTTCATAAGATGACTAGACCCAATGACCATTTAGTGTAAATGTTGGGCCCATTAAGAGCCCATGGTGATGGACTCAGGGGTTCATTGTGTCCTACAGTAAATTCGGCCAGGCCTTGTAATTTAGGCTGGACTGAACCCATGTGGCTGATGTGTAGATCAATGATAGGGTCCCACGCCATACAAAGAGAGCCAAGCTAGCCAGCATTAAAAGGAAGTGAGCTTGAAAGTTTAATCCCATTTCGAACTAGGTTAATTGGATTAATTAATTAGGGGTGAATCTGGGTATGGATTAGTAGATGAGGATAAGAGGATAACTTTTATCCACTTAAAGAGTCCAGATCCAAATAGAGATTTGGATCAGGAAACTTCTAAATTAGGAGTAGCTGTTTTTGATCTGCAGATAAGATAAGAAATTATCCTTATCTCTTAAAGAATTCAGATCCAAATAAAGATTTGGATCAAGAAACTCCTCATCAGATTAGGAGATCATCTCTTTAAGGGTTATACATAAAGAGCAGGGCAGACCTAAAAAGGGTTACACAGTTTGACTGTTTCTGCCTCCAGTTCTCTCTCACTGCTCTTGCCGCCCCACCCTGTTTGATCTCCATCTCTTTAAGGGTTATACATAAAGAGCAGGGCAGACCTAAAAAGGGTTACACAGTTTGACTGCTTCTGCCTCCAGTTCTTTCTCACTGCTCTTGCCACCCCACCCTGTTTGATCTCCATCTCTTGGAAGTGATCAAGATTTGATCTTGATATTGTTTTTGCTGGAAGAAACAATTATGAAGCTATGCTCACTACCCCATTCGATTCTTGCTGAAGAATCAAAGGTTCTTGGTGAAGAACCACTTGTTGATCTTGTCTCATCCTAAGTTGTGCCATCTTCAGTGGAGGGATGAATTGGTACTTTCTTTGGGCGTGAACACCTGCATTGGGAGGAGCTTTTGCGTGGATTCCGTATCAGGTATACCTCTCCCTAAACTTGGTTTCGGATTTGGTTCGGTTTGGTTACAAGAACGAACCTTGAAAATGTAGTTTTCTAAATTAGGGAATATGATTCCCGGATGGAAGTGAAGGAAATTTTTGAAATTTCACCCAACCTTCCTGTAGGTGCAAACATATTAGGGTGCTTCTCAGTTCTAAGTGAACATCTTCTCCAAGGCCACAAGTGTTCCTCAGGATGGGTATTTGGAAGTTCAAGGTTGTACTTGTACCCATATATAGTCATTATCAGAAGTAGTTATTTATGTTCTATAGCTACCTTTCTCCATGAGTATGCTTGTTGTGTGGCGAATCTATAGGCTGTCTTTTTGTGCATTGCAGGGTTTTGTGTATTGAGAGGGAGGTTACTCCGATATGGATTCCTACAGACTATTAAATTTTGGGGATTTTTGAATAGAAAGCATCACCATAATCAAGATGATAAACAGGGTAGTAGAGGATCTTAGAAGTTGGTTATCCATACATACTGTATTTAAAAAGCGATACTCTTCATTTTTGAGGGTTCTTTTTGGGAGGCCTAAGGGTACATACTGGTACAACATCTCATTGTACAAGTCTTTTGTTTTAATGAAACATATACTACCTTCTTCAAAAAGAGAAGATTTTTGAAGGAATGGAATAGTTACATGAACATCTTTAGAGGGAGATGGGTTACTTTATTGCTAGAACCTGACAGAATCCTCTCTCTCGATTATTTTGGCATTGTTTGACAAGCATTTGGAGGGATTGGTGTTGAAATTTTTAGTTTTCTTTTCATTCTTCAGTTGCCCATCCTTACTGGGTTCATTGAGGAGTATCATCTGTTGTTGGTATTGCCTTTTGCCTCCTTTGGGCATTCAGGCATGAATGTAACTCCAGAAAGCTTGGTTGGCTGGTGGGATTGGTCTCTAGTAGCAGACTAGCAGGATGCTCCAGAGGGAGGTTACCATGGCCATCATTTTGGGAATTTTGAAAGAAATGAATACTACATATTTCAAGGGAGGTAAACCAATTAGATGGTCCCTTCTTTGGGAACATGGGCCCACAATAGTTGGGGGAATGTTTGGTAGCTCTATAGATATGCAACAATTAAGTTAAGTTTAGTATAGATCATGGTTCATTTGAAAAGCCTAATGATTGCAACTGGCAAACAGATGATACCTCTAAGAGCGAAAGGTGATATACACATTCCATATCTCCATGCTGGGTCCCATGGTCATATGATTCAATAATTGATAGTTGTCCAAAGGTTGGATATGTATAGTAATGACATGTTGCCTTTATAAAATTACCTTTGGTATAAACTAATGGAAATCTCTTCTTTTTGGGCAGATTGGGAGTACCAAAAGGGACTTATGTTGCTAACTCAAATGGTTGGGCAAGTTTATTTTTTCTTTTATTTGAATTGAGTTGTAATGGAAAAGCAAGATTTAATGGAAATGGATACACATTTATCTTGTTCTTGGGAGAATATCCCTGTAAACATATTTTCTGTTCTTTATCTCATTCTGCCCTTTATCATTCTGTTTGCCATATTTTGTTTCTACAAACATAGTTATTAGTAGAATGCTTCTTTCTTCCTGATAAGGTTTGCTTACAACATAATACCCCTCATTCTCCATTGCTTAGATGACAACCTCTCTTTCTCCTACCTATAACCTATTTCTAGCTTTATTTCTTTCTGCTTTAGTCCAAATTTTGGAATGCTGTCTAAACCAGTCGTAGAACCAACTCTAAAATCTCATCTTCCTTTTGAATTGACAGTCTATTTATGCCCTAAAATCCATTTCATCTGCTGCCGAACTGCCCATCATTTGTTAGGTATTTGAGCACCCTATTAGCCTGTGATCGCTTCAGTTTCATTGTTATTTATTTAAATGATAAGGTATGGTGTGAGGCATTTCACGTTCCTAGAGCATTAGGAATAACCCCCAAGTCTGAGGGTAATCATCCTTATGAGCATGCAGTTTTTAATTGAGTAAACAAATAAACATAAATAAAAAGGATAAAAACGGAAAATATAAATTTTACTAATAAATGAATAACCAAGTAGCCAAATGACCACTCATCAATATATCTAGTAACAACCAAATAAATGAGCAAACAATTGGCAGCCAAAATATTTGGAGCGATGAACATGTACTTAGTTCAGCATGTTTTTTGTTTACTACTTGTACTCTTATGGGTAGAGGCCCAACAGAAGTTCTCATCACATTGTGGCTACTTGGCCAAAATTTTCCATAAAAATTACTAGTTTTGTCCTGTCTCCTTTGTTTCAACTTAAATGGGATAGAAAATATTTGTTTGAAAATATTTCAGATATAAGTCTGCCCCTTTGTGATGAAATTGAAGTTATTAGTTCCTTCTACATAGAAATAATGCAGCCTAACAGAGAAGCAGTGTATACATTTTATTTTGTTAAAATATTTTTGGTAGATTGAAGGAAGTGAAAAATAAATAAATAAGGAATAAGGGAAAAGGAAGACCAAGAAAATTCCTAAAAAATATAGTATTTTTTTTTCATGTTTAAATTTCTATTGCATAGACAGAAGGAAGGAAAGAAAGGATGACAAATGAAAAGTGAGCAAAGGAACCCTAATCCCAATCTGATATTCACAAGATTGAAGAAGAGGAAGTTCTGGGGTCTTTTGGGTTTGGGCAGAGGTGGTGTAAGTGGATAAAAGGGTGTATTAGGACTTGCCACTATTCCATTCTAGTGAATGGTAGGGTGGTAGACCATTTTCCAGCTACTAGTGGTATTAGGCAAGGGGACCCCCTTTCCCCTTTTCTATTTACCTTGATTGCTGAAGTTTTGGGGAGGATCATTAAGAGGGTAGATTCTAGAGGTTTGGTAAGTGGCTGGAGAATTGGGAGGGATGGGGTTCCAGTCGCTCATTTACAGTTTGCGGATGACACAATTCTGTTTTGTGGAGGGAATGAGATTAGGTGGGTGAGAAACTTAAAACGGGTGATTAATGTGTTTGAAAAAGTGACCAACCTCAAAGTCAACCTTGATAAGAGTTGTGTGATTGGCATTAATGAGTGTTGGAGAGGTGGAAGAAAGGGCCCAAGTATTGGGATGCGAGATTGCCTAGTGGCCAATGAAGTATTTGGGGTTTCCTTTAGGGGATAATCCTCGCAAAAGTGGCTTTTGGAATCCGATGATGGAGAAGTTCACAAGTAGGCTTGCTTCATGGAAGAAAAACTACATGTCTTTGGGTGGTAGGATAGCCTTGATTAAAGCTACTTTGGCGAACCTCCCTATCTACTTTCTGTCTGTGTTTAAAATTTCTGAGGGAGTATGTAGGGTGTTGGAGAAACTTATGAGAGATTTCCTATAGGAACCTGGGGAGGAGAAAAGGGATCATAGAGTTAGGTGGGATCTTGTCACTAGAGCTAAAAAGGATGGTGGTCTTGGCTTAGGTAACTTGTAGAAGAAGAATGAAGCTTCGCTGGGGAAATGGCTATGGAGACTGACAAAGGAAAGGGATAACCTGTGGGCTAAAATTATCCTAAGTATACATGGGCAAGAGGCAGATGGCTGGGACACAAGTGTTTCATCTAGGGCCACAAGAGCTTCTTCCTGGAAGTCTATTCATGCAATTCTTCCTTCCTTCCTTCCTTTTATCAGGTATGACCTTTGCTCTGGTAACTCTGTAAGATTTTGGGAACATATCTGGGTGGGTGACACACCTTTGAAAGAGCAATTTCCCTCTTTGTTCTCTCTTTCAAGGTTAAAAAATGAGCCTGTAACTACCTTCCTTATCTTTTCGAATTCTACCCCTGTTTGGAACCTGGGCTTTCGAAGGGCTCTTAGAGATTCTGAATTGGATTCCATTTCTAATTTGCTTAAGATTCTGAAGGAGGTGGTTGTTGATCCCTCTAGAATGGATTGTAGGATTTGGGCTCGTACTCTTTCGGGTATCTTTTCTTGCTCTTTTTTTTCAAGGAATTAACCCATTCCCAATCGGCTCTTGATTCTCCTTTCCCAGTTCCGGAAGTTTGGGGTAGACCAATTCCCCCCAGAGTAGGTGCTTTTTGTTGGGAAGTTATCTTAGGAAAGTGTAACACTTGTGATATACTCCAAAAGAAAAGGCCAAATTGGTGTTTATCCCCGCACTGGTGCATCTTATGTAAGAAGGATGGTGAGAGCTGTTATCACTTATTAGTCTCCTGTCATTTTGTTTTAGAAATCCGGTGTTGGTTTTTCTCTCTCTTTGGTTGCAGGTGGCCCACCCCTCTAAGTGTGCAAAGTTTGTTTATTTCTTCTTCAGTGAGGGGTTTAAAAAAGAGAGGTAAAATCTTGTGGAGGTGTGTAAGAGCAGCTGTATGCTGGACAATAAGGGAGGAAAGGAACCAATGTACTTTCCATGAAAAAGAAAAGAACAAAGAAGCCTTCATTGACTTAATCCATGTTAGGTGATTCACTGGGTCAAGTCTATGAAGCTATTTGAAGGTTTCTCAGCAGGAGATATCATTAGAAATTGGAAATAAATTGCCTGGTCCGCTCGGTTGATTAATTCCCCTGTTCCAACTTGGTCTCCTCCAACTTTGGGGTTCACTAAATTGAACTTTGATGGCAGCAGTGAAGGAAATCCAGGCCCTTCAGGTATAGGTGGAGTGTTCAGGGACGAAGGTCGAGTTATGGCCATGTTTTCAGGACCTATAGATTGGGGGGATTCTCTGAGAGCTGAAATTTCAGCAGTATTAGAAGGAATACAAAGAGCCGAACAGCTGAATATTAGGAAGTTGCTGGTGGAGGGTGACTCTAGATTGACTATTAACTGGCTGCAAAAGGAAGATGTTAGTTTGTGGAAATTCTCGAATGAAAAAAGAAAATCTACCAGCTTACTCAAGACATGCAAATTCAGTTTCAGTGGTCAAAGAGGAGTGCCAATTCTTTCGCAGACTTTTTAGCTAAACAAGGGGTGGGAAGAGCTAGTTTCTTTTGGGCTGTGTTGTAATATGATGTTTTTCTTTTAGGGTGGGCTAAGAGTTTTTACCCCCCCCTCCTGTTGTATTTTCTTCCTTCTCCTTTATTAATAAAAGTTTCTGTTACTGATAAAAAAAAAGAGATTGAAGAAGAGGAAGAAGAATGAAGAAACCAAAAGAAAATCCCAAATATTTAAAGTAAAAGAAATGGTTATTTTGCATTTTTTCTTCTGGTAAATCTCACCCCTCCCACCTGAAAAACAAGGAAAAAGGGAAAAGAAGAAGAAATCACATGCCTGGTAATTTATTTTTGATTATTAGTAGTTAAACTTTAATAATTGTGAGAAAAGCATGTTCTATGTCTATATATAAGCAATAAGTGCCAATCACTCCTGTTCACCCCTTGTTTATGATCTTCTACCTAACACTTACCTGTTTTTATTCAAGTGCTTTTCTTACAATTGTGCCCAGAAAAATTGATACTTGTGCACCCCTTATTTGTCCATTGTATCAGCTAAACAATTTACCAGTTTTAGAGCCTAGGAATAGTTAGTTACCAATTCCCTAGCCAGGTATTTTGTCTCCCTAAAGATGTTTCTATATTGCCATGAACCTTTGCTTACACTCAGCCAGTTCACCACCACCTTAGAATCCCCCTCCACCAATATGTTCCTAAAGCCCCAGGATCTGGCCAGTCTTTGGCTCTCAGCCCATGCAAGTGCTAATACAACCCTTGTTGAAATCATAGGATCATATGCCTGGCAATTGCTTGGTTATCTCGTCTTTCTTCTTCACTTGAAAGATCCTCACAAAACCCTTTTCTTCACATGGATGATAAAAAAAAGCGCACAACTTGGATTTGGTTAATATTAAGTTTAAGGTTAGGGTAGGAACCGTATGATGTATCTTTCTTTCTTCTTTTTTAAATTACATCTGATAGTTATTGGCTTATTTTTTGGGGCACAAGCTCCATAATTGAATCATAAAAAATAGGGCCTTAAGAGAAGCATGCATTTTTTTTTTGTGCCTCAAAACCTTAAGATAGTGTAGAATTCTGTCAGATTTTTTTTCTCCAAGTCTATTGCCAATGGGGCACTGTATTGAAATCTATTGTAGAAAGTAAACTAGCCCAATTGATAGAATGATCCCATTTGCTACTCATGATTGATCTTGGGGAGCTTGCAGTTCTTACAGTTTTTTTTTTACTATTTTATGTAGTTACTTATTTTGATGTGATCATAGCTGGCAGTAGTTTGTTGGTCTGGACTTTGATTCGCGTACTCTTTATTTTCTGATGATAGCCTTTCTGTATATCTGTACACAGTCAGCTTGGAGACATGTGATATGTGAACTTGTCAATAAACAACTGACCTTCTCTTTATTTCTGTCGGTTGGCTTTCTTTATATTTGCTAAATGTCAGCCTGGGTACATGTGAACCAGTCAATAAAAAGATATATTGCAAGTTAATTTATTTATGTATACATGTTGCTGATGCATTTTCTATTTGTTTTGGTATCCAGGTATTACATGCTTGCTACACAAAGGTGTCCCCTTCGGCTGAAGTAGACAACCCTAAGCTTGTTGCATGGTCAGAGTCAGTTGCTGAGTTACTCGATTTGGATCCTAAGGAGTAAGCATCTCTTCTCTTGCTTCTGGCCTTGTGTTGTTGCTGCCTCTTAAGATTCAACCTAAGAGGAGTCCTGATCTCCCTGTTGCTGGTTAAAGTAATTGAGTTTCCCTACTTATCTGGATTACCTGAAACTCTAGAACCAACTAGAGTTTTATTTTGAAATAAAATTTATTACTTACAAATGAATGACATTTTATCATCTACTGGAATGTCTGTGATTTCTATTTATTTCTGTTAGAGAATAAAACCTATTCAGGGACCTCACCTAATCAAAGAACCAAACAACCTAAAAGTTTAAGCTGTTAGGTGAGGTCCCTGAATAGGTTTTTATTTTCTAACATGCCCCCTCATGCAAATGTCCATTGGGCTTGAAGCACGGAGAAGCAGAGGCCCACCCATACCTTATTCTGAAATTTAATTAATTATAATGGGGGCCATAGTTGTCAAGGCGATGCCTAGGTGACAAGGCGCCCTTGGAGGTTCACTTCACCTAATCGACAAGCAGTTTTGTACAGTGTGTTATAAAATACTCTTATGTTTTTAATTTTTTGAGGTTATAATTATAAAATAGACATTAAACTAAAATATTCGTTTTGTGTGTTTATATACTAATTTCTTTTCATTATTTTCTTATTTTTTGATCAATAACACATTTCATTAATCAATCAGAAATATTAATTACAAAGGAGGAGACAGACTTTCTTGTCTCCCCAACTGAGGCTTGGGTCCCCATGAATAGAAGCATTACTAAATTCTGTATTGTACCCTCAAAGTCTTCAAAACCTGAACTGATAAGTAAGGAAGAACTTAAAATGTTGTCTAATCAACAAATTTTCTTTGTCCACATCTTCTTCTCTTCCTTTCCTATAATAGAAATAGGGGTTCAGCCCCTATATTTTTTGAATTTTCTTTGCTTTCTTCTTTTTCTTCTTATGACTATGTTGAAATATGTTGATTTTCTATACTTTAACATGAAGTATACTTATGAAAATTATGGATAATTTTATTAAGGAAATATGGTTATGAAACCCCGGATAACACAACTAGGATATATGTTTTTTACTTAAAAAAATCCATCACCTAGGTGATGCTTAGGTGCCCACCTAGGTGGCTATCACCTAGTCTTGCCTTGGCACCTTGAAAACTATGATGGGGGCAACGAGGGTTGAACACTAGACCACTTGGTCAAATAGGCTTGGGACCATGTCAAGGAACTGTTATTATCAAAAAGCTTAAGCTGTTGGGTGAGGTCCCTGAATAAGTTTTATTCTCTGACAATTTCAATTATGAAAATTGGATGATTCAATTAAACATATCCTCCCCGGTTGGGGTGGAAGTCTCCAAAACTGCTGAAAGTGGGCTTCTCAGTTTGTTCCATTTTTCCACCCTAGAAAAATCAGGTTTGCAGTTCCTAGCTTTAGCAATTCTATCGATCCTGAATGTTAATGGCAATTCAGTAGCCCTCCTAAACTATTTCTTATGTTAATTATTCTGTGGATAAGTTTAGTTTTTTTTTTTTTTTTTTTTTTTTTTTTTAATTTTGCCTGGAACATTGTTAACTATGGGGATAACAGTGACTTATGTGTGGGTTTCAGATTTGAAAGGCCGGACTTCCCACTCATATTTTCAGGGGCATCCCCTTTGGTGGGAGGGTTAGTATTCTGAACTTTTATAATTCGTAATCATACTTTTTTTTTGGTATAGGTAAGGCATCTAGGGGTAGCGGTAATTATTCATAGCTCAAATTCTATTATTCATTATCAATTTAATCTTACAGGATGCCCTATGCTCAATGCTATGGAGGACATCAATTTGGCATGTGGGCTGGTCAGTTGGGTGATGGTCGTGCAATAACTCTTGGGGAGCTTCTGAATTCTAGACATGAGAGGTGGGAATTGCAGCTTAAAGGTGCTGGTAAGACTCCTTACAGCCGGTTTGCAGATGGCCTTGCAGTTCTGCGAAGTAGCATCAGGGAGTTCCTCTGCAGTGAAGCAATGAACAGCCTAGGAATCCCAACAACCCGTGCACTTTGTCTTGTTACAACAGGCAAATATGTCACCCGGGATATGTTTTATGAGTATGTCTGGCAGAATCTAAATGATCAAATGCTACTTGTTTGTAATTCTATTTCTGTAATATCTTTTCTACATCCTGTCATGTATTTTGTTTGATAAATTCTGTGGTTTTCATAAATTCTCATGAACTTTTGAGGAGACTTTACTGATGCTACCATATGGGTTAAGGGCTTGGTACAGGCCTTTAGAGGCTTCACATCTTTTCTGAATGAGATCAGAATGCTTTTAGGTTGATGAACACTGTTCTGAGATTGATTCCAGGGGAGTTGAACAACATTGCAAAGTGAGAGGTTGAAGGAGAAAGATTATAAACATAATTCTCTCTTCCATAGCGTTGATCAAGAAGTCCCCAATTCCATTTTTGTAAAGCTTCTACAGCTTTGAGTTGACTTTGATTTCTTGGTTAATGTCCATATCCTATTTTATTAATATAAAATACTTTTTTTGATTGACATCATTCAAAAGAAAAAATCACAATAGTTGAATGGGGGATTTACAGAAATAATTGAGATGCCAAAGAAGCAACCATTGCATCTTGCATGTTTATACTTTATCATTTTACATTTTCTGGGGATCATATTTCCTATTATAATATTTGTATCATCTTTGCTTTTTTTTGACTGTAAGATAAGCTTGTTCCATTTAGTTAATGCTAAATATATATTCTCATGCAGTGGAAATCCAAAGGAGGAACCTGGTGCAATTGTTTGCAGAGTTGCTCAATCTTTTCTTCGCTTTGGTTCATTCCAAATACATGCATCTAGAGGCAAAGAAGATATTGATATTGTAAAAGCTTTGGCAGGCTACACCATCCGGCATCACTTTCCCAATATTGAGAAGATAAACAAGGGCGAGAGCTTGTCTTTCAAGATGGGTGGGGAGGGCTCCTCAGTTGTAGATTTGACAGCTAACAAATATGCAGGTGGTTTTCTTTTACAGCTTGTCTACTTTAGGGTTATTTCAGGAAATTATAGAATTAATTGATATATGCAATAGCTGTTATACATGTTTTGGGATTTGCCTGAGTTTGTAATTGTTCCATCTGTTGCATTTCTTGACTTCAAAAGTTATGTCGAAACATGTCCATTGGTTAGATAGTTGATAAGATCATTTCACCAGTTCATTTCTAGACCAGGGTGATCAAGTAGCCCTTTTTTCTTGTGATAATACACTTCTTTTATGCTTGAATAAAAGGCTTTTTGGCATATATATATGATGCATGTCTACAATGGCTAGACCCTGGACAGTTTTTTTCTTTTTATTTTGACGACATTCCTTTTCCCCTTTGCATGTGCAAATTGCCCATAAAAGCATGGACGTTGTGGAGAAATTAGTTTACTTAAGGATCTGAAATAACTTGTCTCTTATGCTTTCATTTAACCAGCCTGGGCAGTTGAGGTTGCTGAGCGGACTGCTTACTTGGTTGCAAGCTGGCAGGGGGTTGGATTCACTCATGGTGTGCTCAACACTGACAATATGAGTGTTTTGGGTCTTTCCATTGATTATGGCCCCTTTGGATTTTTGGATGCTTTTGATCCAAGTTACACTCCAAATACCACAGACTTGCCAGGGAGAAGGTACTGCTTTGCAAATCAACCAGATATTGGCTTATGGAATATTGCACAGTTTTCTGCAACTCTATCAGCTGCAAAGTTGATCAGTGATGAAGAGGCGAACTATGCTATGGAGAGGTATATTTGGAAATTTTGATTCTTTCATTTAGGAATGCATCAGAAATTAGTTTGTTGATTACTGAAATGGTCTATGTCCTTCACTTTTAACAGATATGGGACTAAATTTATGGATGAGTACCAATCTATTATGACCCGAAAACTTGGTTTGCCAAAATACAACAAACAATTGATAAGTAAACTTCTCAACAACATGGCAGATGATAAAGTTGACTACACAAATTTCTTCCGGTTGCTTTCAAATGTTAAGGCAGACCCTAGCATCTCAAAAGATGAACTGCTTGTTCCACTTAAGCCTGTTTTACTGGATATGGGCAAGGAGCGCAAGGAGGCGTGGATAAGCTGGGTACAGACCTATATAGAAGAGGTATAATGATGCTACTCTGATGTTGTCTCGCTGTTACTTTATGTGCATATTCTTATAGTACACTATTACCTGGATACTTGTCCAGAGTGTCATCTGGTGTCAAGCACTTGATTTTTTAGCGTAAATTCTATATCTGATATTGTCCTTCCTGTATCTGGGAAACATGGATACTACATGCTTATTTATTTACTTCATCTCCTCCCCTTGTTTCAGAGGTTGAGGATTTACTTTTGTCTTGTATATATGTCATGCTCTTAGCTAGATATTTTTACAGGAAAGCTTCATCTGTGAAATGTATTTTCCTTTTCCTTTTTTTTTCTCTGTCAATATGATGAACTATGGTTGATTGCTGATTGCATTAGGAGAAATTGCTAGTGAATTACGTAAAAATGTTGTAATTAATTAGTATTATAACTAACACCTACATCTACAGCATGGATGCAATTTCTTTGAAAAATGTTTTTTGAAGGCTTTTGGGTAATTTCATCCCTAGTTTGATACTTTTTTTAATGTCAATTCTATTTCCCGCATGATTAAAAGATCAATAATAATTTATCAATTTAATGAGCTATGATGCCATTGATTCTGCACAAGGGAAATTCTATTCTGATCTTTAGAAATTTGATCTCACATGATCTCTTCTATTCCACCCGAAGCTTGTTGCTAGTGGCATTCCGGATGATCAAAGGAAGGTTGCAATGAACTCTATCAACCCAAAATTCATTCTACGGAACTACTTGTGTCAAAGTGCCATAGATGCAGCTGAACAAGGTGACTATGAAGAGGTTAAGAGGCTGCTCAAAGTCATGGAACGACCATATGATGAACAGCCAGGGATGGAGAAATATGCACGTTTACCCCCTGCATGGGCCTATCGGCCTGGTGTGTGCATGCTTTCTTGTTCTTCCTGAGAAACTTCGACATTCTGAGAACATAAATCCCAAAAGATCATGTAACTTTGGTGTATATAATAGTTGCATTCAGTTGCGGCCAAAAACAATAATATACAAAAGTTGTACTCTTTTATTCATATGCTTTGTAATGAGAAAAGTGTTGCTAGGTTAGTGTATCTTCTGGAACTACAGCAAATCACTTGTAATGATTTTGGATCAGACAATAATAGATGGCTGAAATGACTTCTTTTAGCTTTTAGTGCTTTGATGACGAGCATTGGTCGTGGTGGTTGGTGAATTCATAGGGAATGATCTTAAGTCGTAAGGGAATATATGGAAAGACTGATGAAGACTGCTTACTAAGAAGGCTCTTGGGAAATTCATGCATGCAGCTACATCATTCATTGTTTTCATTAGTTTTTTCTAATGGCAATACTCTCTCTCTCTCTCTCTCTCTCGTTCATTCCAGTATTTCACAGGTTGATGATACACTACGAGGGGTAGGGGTTTTAACATTTAAGCATATATAGAAATCCTCAAATTCTGTTTTTGGTAGAAAAAATCCTCAAATTCGTAAATAGCATTTCGGTGGATTCAAAAACTGAAAAAAACCTTTTAGTGGCAAGAGGCAAATCATAGGTGGTATAAAGCAGGTATGCAGGTGAGCTTCAATGGTGACTTGACTTAAAGGCCTTCTGTCCACAGCAGCAATCTCTGGTCGCGCTGGTTATTCCTGAATCCTGATATCCTTTTGTGCTACCATATGCGTTTAATAGAAATCGGGTCAAGTTTAGCCTGAGCATGAAATCTTTGGGCTTATTATGGAGATGGGCTGAGTCCTAAAATTAGCCCATGGTGCTGAGCTCAAACCCTCATGGTTTATATATCTAGTCTCAGACCTATGTGGCCCAAGTTTCTAACCCAATTCAAATTTAAAGCGCCATAGAACCATTCGTGGAAGACAGTGCCATTCAAGGTTCAAAAAAGTTGATATTGTATGTAGTAAGGTCTAAAGTGTTGATGTCGATGGAAATGTTGCTTACCAAAATATAGGACATATGTCGGAAATGTCAAGGGGAAATATTATAAAAATTAGAGACATTGTGGAAATATGCAATGATATTTTGTAAAATGATAAAAGAAGCATTAATACATATTTCTAAATTATTATCTTATTTCCAACCATTATATAAAGCTAAGAAACTAAGACCAATAACAAATTAGTAAATGATGATTTACTGATTTATTATGCATTTTGATGTTTTTACAAGGTTATCTGATTTTTTTCTTATTGTTAATTCTGATTTATTATAAATACTAATATACTAATATATTTATTTCACACTAGTAAATAAAAATACATTTATTTTGATGTTTTTAAATATTAAAGTTATAATACATTATATTTTATTATAAATTTAATAAACTAATTCTCCTTTTTTTAGTATTAAGATTCTAAAAAATTCTGATTTCTTATAAAACTGAATGAATTTATTCTGATTTTTAATAATAAATTTATAATAAATTATGATTTAGTATAAAATTTAATAAATTTATTCTGAATTTTTATATTAAATTTATAATAAATTATGATTTACTATAAAATTTAATAAACGTTTTCTGTTTTTTAATAAATATTTTAAAAATACTAAGTAGTTAATATTTTATTACTTGAAAAATATTTTATGTTTTATATTATAAAGTAATTAATTTATTATTTATTATTTTTTGAAATATTAAATATAATATAATATAATACAATATATATTAATGGAATAATGTATATTAGTATATTGTGTTATATTAATATAATATACTAATATATTATATTATTATATTAACATTTCATTTGTTTGGTATCTTTTTTGAAGGTCTACAATATTACGATTTACCTTCATTTACTGTAGAACATCTACACCAAAAATAATATGTTTGTTGTGATGGTCTATGGACATTTCATAGACCATCACACATAATACCATAACTTTTAAGCTACTTAACAAATTAACATGACATAATTTTCGAAAGAGGGAGGGAGTAAAGCTGAGACGCTTTGGAGCTCTGCAAAATACTTCAACCTCCGATCCTTCACAAGTGTGAAAGCCAGAACTTGAAGGCATGAAAAAGAAGATCAGTTTCAAGTTCTAGGCTTCTAGCGGAAATTCATAACTTCCACCTCAAGTTTTTTTTTTTTTTCTCCTAAAAAATCTGGAACTGGAAGAGGGTTTGCTCTTACCTGAGATTTGAGAATAGATGAGAAGCCTGAGATGAAAAGCTTCAAATACTCAAAATTTTGGTTGGTTGTTGCTCAGTTGCTCGGTTGCTCCACGATTTAGCCTCCAAGTCTTGCTGATTCAAAACCAAGCCTCGTTCCAACCTCTAGGTAAATAAAATTGTACACAGAAAACTGAAAACCCCTTCTATGAAACCCTTCTTCCTCTTGTTACTTCTTCTAAGCTTGAATGGGCGTACTATGATTCTTCATTTGTTTGTAAGCATGTTGTCTTTTTCTTTCGAATCTTTCCCTTGTTCTTCATTTTTTCAAGCATGTATATGAAATTATGAATGATTGTAGCTAGCATGCGGTTTTCTTTTTTCCTCTTTTTTCTGTTCGATGTAAAACCTTATTCTCTTGCTTGTACGTTAGTCGACATGCCTGTCGACATAATAGGAAAACTGTTGTTTTTTTTGGTTATTTGGACTGACGACTGAAATATTATAATTTTTACATTACAACCCATTTTCATGTTGGTGAGTCTCGACACCGACATATGTCGGACGACATTAGTGAAATGTCGCGATATGATGGAAAAGTTTGTATATGCATAAATACAGTAGGGAAATTCATACCAAGCAGGCATATCAAAGTGCACCATGCACAATACTTATCACTTATCTGGTTTAGGTCCCTCATACAGTTCAGCAATAGATCCATTCGTTAAAAGGCGATTGCATATAAATCGTTTATTGCTGGGAATTAGTGGCAATAATTGCTCGAAAAAATTCACTCCTTCAAAGAAGGACGTCTGAAGCACCTTACCCAGCATTATATTAAAGCCGAAATTTCTTTTTCCCTGGTTGAATGAGAATGGCTTATGTGTATTTAAGCGACTCATTGACAGGACACTTGCAGTCTTGCATCCTATGTGGAGTGCAGATAAGCTCTGATTGCTCAGCACTTCTACCTTTCGATGTGGGTTGAAGAATCTAAAACCATGATTTACAAAATCAGACCGGACCAAAAAAACCAAGAATCGATCATCTGACCATTTCTGTTTTTCCCTAAAACCGTTTTTTTCTCCAAAGCCGTTGATTTTAACCAATAAACCGCTGAACCGGCTGGTTAACTATTCAAACCATTCGAAAGGTTTTGACCATTTTTCATTTTTTTTAATTTTGTCAGAACTTAAAAACCATGTCTAAAACTAAGTTTGTCAGTTGACTCTAATGGTTGAAAGCTTGTTTGGTTTGTGAACGTTTTTGAGTTAAAATGGTCACAAAACACTTTGATTGGAATTTTTTTTAAGATGATATTGATATATTCCCATTTTAGGTGCAGAATCTCAATGGCTAGTTAAGCCATCTGACAATTAATAGAAAAATTTAGAGAGGGATTTGCATAGGGTGTTCACTGATTCAAAGAAAACATACGATTAAGTTACTAGAGACATAATGTGGATCTCAATGTCCTGATTGAGTTGGCATGGCAACGTCTCCAACATAACGCATGTCCTCTACCGAACAACAGGATTGAAATGTAAATAGTGGTATTTACCTATAATTAACACAAATACAATACCTATAAATCTATAATTAACCCACATTCCATAGATCCCGACTAAGCATATAGCACCCCGCTATTGTGGGGTCAAAGCCGCATGCCCATAATTAAATTGATAGTGTCTCCATTCTCCAACATACCACTGCCAAAGTGCCAAGTTTGCCTCATCGGCTGCGTCCTGGGGTATTGAAGACCTGGGAGAAGTCTCAAACAGCCACTGGGCATTAATCACAATAATTTATTGACACGAGTGTACTACTACCACACTTAATTGATGCTCCAGGGAGCAAACCATCAAAATAGGCTTCAATGTTGGCTGTTTGAATCGTACTTCAGCTTGATAGAAGCAAAATATGTGCAATCTTTCCAGGCAATTAAAAGACAATGATGGTCATGGTCCAGTCCGACAGCACAAACAGATGGTAATATGGGTTTGGGGAAGAGTTTTTATTGCTGTTGTTTATAGACCAAAGTATTTACTTTTACCCTGAATATATTGATGCATGCAATAACTGTACATCTGTTGCCTACTGATGACTCTGAGATTTCAGAGGTCATTTGTATTGTTTCATTCTTTTACGCTTTCCAACATCTAAATTCTAAAGGGCAAGGATAACAAAAAAAAACATAAAACAATAGCCCATACATTGCATTTTTTTCATTCTTCTTTACCCCCCCCCCCCCTCGCTTTTAAACCAAAATAACTAGTATGGAAAAGAAAACAATCTGGATAACATCAATGAAAAGCTTTGCAATAAAGTAATGATTTACTCTGGCTTTTTCTTCAAATATTTGGAATCAGAAACCAGCCCATCCAGCAGGCTGAGAAGCCTTCTTCCTTTCTACACTCCTTGAATCTCCAATTCGTTCAAAACTATGAACTTGGCTAGAGGTCTGTGTTACCTGAGTGCTGGACGGGACCGCCGTGAAATTATCTGACCCAAAACCCCATGTTTCAAGACCATGACTTTCATCAGGAGCCTGTTTCTTCTGCCGTCCATTTGTTGTCCGAACTGATCTGGGAGTGTTGTTCTTCAAGGAAGGCTGTGGCTTGGTATCATCAGAGAATGCATTCCATGGTTTTGAATCTGGACTTGGGGAACTATTGGCAAATAGCCCTTGTTGGAGTTCCCACACTGTCCCTTCGATCTTCTCCCTTTGCTGCGTAAAGGTAAAAATACACCAACCATGAGCAGTGCATAAAAAGAAAAATAAAAATAAAAATAATTATGATGATGACTGAGAAATAAAAGCCAAGCAGAAGAAAGCAAATTTATAAAAGCTGTACCGGAGTTGTAGACTGCTGACTTCCAGAGGTTGTTTTTGAATAGTCCTTGTTTGGTGATGGTGTTCTAGCAGCTAGAGCTTGCTTTAATTCCTGAATCTCCAGTCGTTGAGAACGACAAATGGCAGAAAGCTTTTCATATTTGGATGTTATTTCAGCTTTCTCTGTGTTAGCTTGTTTCAATTGATCTTTCAGTCTATCCACTTCAGCCTCAAGTGCTTCTTCTTTTGCTGATTTCTTGTTATTGCTATTACTACCATTTCCAAAGTCAAGTTTATTGGTATCAAATTCAGCAACAAAAGTGTTGAATGTTTCATTCTGGAAAGTAATTGCATTTTCAGATTTTGATGTTTTTGATTTTTCAGATCCATGGTTTGCATCTTCTGAGAAAAATCTTATCTCAAAGTCCTTGGAGTGGACATCATCAAATCTCTTAGGGGGGTTTACATGTACACTCTTTCTGAAAGAACGGGTCCCAATGTTCTGCTCTTTTGGAGGGCTAACATTCCCAAGATGGCAAAGTTTCTCTGGACTCCGTCGATCATGAAGGGATTTCCTTTGACTACTTGGTTCTTCATCGAAAATGGGCTCGCCCTTGTCCTCTGAGACATGTAAACCTTTTGCATGCTGGGTGGACCAAAATGCACCTAAAGGAGGCCCACTTGCCTTGGAAGTGAGAGATGGTGATGATACATTTTGAACTTGTTCTCTGGCTGGAGGAGGGGGTGGACTCCTATGAGGCATTGGATGAGCCCTGTTTGTAGGATTTGACATACCTACTAACAACACAATTACATATCAGATAATATGAACTAAGAGCAATTTATATCATACTCTATCAGCATTTAATGCTTAGAGGATATCTGAAGATATGTTCTTACCATCATCATGCATATTGACAGTTGCTTGGTGCATGTCAGGTGGTCTGTCTGGCAATGATTTCTGCAACTCTGGAGGTAGCTGTTCATTAACACGAAACCACACCTGCCACCAGGGAAAAAGCTTGGCTTCAGTAAGCAGAAAATAATCTATATATTAACCTAAGACTACCATGGACACAAACAATCTAGAACTAACCTAGATTCATGGAGAATGGGCAATCAAGCAAAGCCCTTGCCTGCGTGATGTCTGGTCTGGCATCTGGAGAAGCCTGAAGCATGTCTCTGATCAAGCCCGTGATGGATGAACTATATTTTGGTAAATCTGGGATGCGGTAGTTTCCATTTAAGATTTGCAGCTTTGAGTCACCATCAAATGCAGATTTGAAGTAGCAGATCCGGTAAAGCAGGCAGCCAAGAGCCTGCAGAAAGACAAAATAGCTTCAGCTCTCAATTATGTCTAAAGATGTCAAGTTCAAAGGATAATCACAAATTCCCAATTGTTAACAAATATATTTTCCACCAAAATGAGGTAGTTTGACTTACCCAAATGTCCACTTTCTCATTTATAAGTTCCTTCCGATACAGATCCCACATCTGATATAAAGCGAAAAGGAAAGCATGTCAGTTGTAAATTTTTATCACCATGGTATTACATTACAGGCTACAGGATTGATCTTCATTCAACCTCAGGGGCTCTATAGGCAGGTGTTGTGTGTTTTCTTATATTGTCTTCCTCAATACCCATTTCTTCAGGCCTTTCAAAGCGCTTGTGATTGGTTGAAGTGCTGCCGAAATCACACAACTTCCATATTCCATCAGATCCCAAAAGAAGATTCTCAGCTTTTAAGTCTCTGAAGAAGGGAGGATAAACACATCAGAAATCAGAATGTATTTATTGGTAAAAACAGATTGCAGCCTCCTTGTCAGCTTTTAAGTCTTCCTTGTCAGAAATGACAAAATGATAGAAATAGAAACTTATTGCATGCAAAAAACTTTTCGGTTTATTACTCAACTATTCTCTTAAGCTTCACTTCGCATAACATGAAATCAAGTACATGTGGATGAACCTTAAAGCTATTTACTTAAAAATTCAAATATAGTTATTATATATGACATAACTGAAATAGCTGAAACTTCTTCCCAGTGTATCTCCATTAAAAGAGGCATAAAACAGCCCTTGTAATTACTATTTTAAGGAATTTCCCATTATGTCAAATCCATCTATTTATCTATTAAAATATAAGTATCTATAGTATCTATCTTATGCAAGATCAGTAGACAGTAGTTAAACAATCGAAATGCACAGAAATTCCTCAAGAAAGATTAAAGTATCTTTGTATAAAATATCATTTCAGCCTTTACTTAAGTAAGTTTCCCCCTTTTTATCTAATGATATTTTAGCAAGCAAACCTAGCTTTTTAAGTTAGACCCCTGCATGAATACACAAATGGAAGTTGTAAAAGAAATGTAATGTTCTGAAGAAAAGATCAGAAAATAAATTATGTTTTATATGAATTACTTAAATATAGAATATGTAACCAATAAAATCACATTCCACCATAACTATTAGTAATTAGAGAATCCATGAAGGTTGAACAAACAATGCTACTGTTAGGCAATGGAAATCAGATGTTTCTGCCACCAGCTCCAGCAATACAAACTCTATCTAGCACAGAATTAATATCCATATATTATCAAATACTTCAAATGACCATCTAACTACCAACCCCCTTACCCCCAAGTGGTCCACCCAGCCCAAAAAGGAGGGAATGTGGAGCTAGTGCATACTACAGTAAATGAAATAATGAATGACGATTCCCTAACTATGTAATGGAATACCTGAATTTCCATCAAATAGAAAGGTAGATCAATACTATCAACACCAAGAAGGGAGACCAGGCAGCATTTATGATTAGAGGAAATTAAAATTTGATGTCGGAAGAAGATGGTTACCTGTGTGCAATTGGAGGGGTTAGGCAGTGCATTGCAAACACTGCATTGCACACATCTCTGAAAATGGAAAGAATCTGTTTCTCCTCAAAATATCCAACTCCTCTGCTCTCCAGCACGTTAACCAGAGACTTCTCACAAAATTCCATAACAAGAAGTGCTTCTTTTGTCCGCCCCATATCCAAAATAGTATGAGCAAGAAGTGCGACAACATTTGGATGTCCCCTAAGCATTTTCATCACTGAGATCTCTTTGGTCACCAGCTCCAGAGATTCCCCATCATTGCATATAATGTGCTTCAAAGCATACTGCTTAGATGTATGAACAGCATCACGTGCAAGATAAACACAAGAGAACCCGCCTTCTGCAATCACATTGCGGATATGAACCTTGATGTTGCCAACATCAATAGTGCGGCCTTCCAGCCCAGCATGTTCTTTTGGCATAAACTGCTTGAACCTCCACATGACTGAAATAACGAAGACAGCCCTGCATTTTTGATAGAGAGCATTTCAAGATAATTAGATTTAAAAATAAAAGCAAATACTAACTAAGGTTGTAGAGTTGACATCAAGACCTTTTTCTTTAAGAAATCATCAGAAAGCCCCCTTATTGCACATGTACAGATCCCAACCTCACTCCAAGACTTCTTCCTTTTAACAAAATCATCAGAAACATGCTTTTGCAACTTTAATTAAAGCCCCCTTTATTGAACACGTACAGATCTTAGACGTCATATTTAGTTCATTCACAAACCTAGGGAAAATTTCCTAAAGAAAGAACCGATGGACAATCGAATCTTGGATGCGTAGCCAAGATCCAAACTTTCACTGAACTTCAAGATAAGAGTTCAGGCTATCAGCAGTTGATTCATTAGATCATAGATAGAATTCGCTATTACAGATCTGAAATACCAAAAGATCCACAACTTCCAGCAATAAACATCAGAAAACAGGGACTTGATATCTCGTTTTGAATTGCGGATTAATAACGGAAAGAATAAGCCAAAGAAAAAAAAGATAAGAAGAACAACGAAAGCAGACACAGATGCTACGTAGTTACCAGTACGATCTGGTCGATCGGGCTAAGGAAACACGCAATTTACTGAAATTGGCAAACTCTGATTCGAGCAATTAAAACTAACTCGAAGAAGAAACACAATCCAACTATTTACAGATCTAAAACTTGATTAATTTAATTCCCTAAATCTAGCTAATATCAACACTGTCACAGCCTAAATATTCACCTCCGAATAACAAAAAAAAATAATAAAATAAAATAAAATAAACCTCATCAAAATATCTGCGAAAAGAAAGAGAACAGAAAGTAGCGGTCGTACCGGAAGTCGGAAAAATCGGAGATGCAAGAGACGGAAGCAGAGTAAGCGAGGAGCTAAAAGTCCGCCTTTGAAGAATCAGATATGCTTGTTGGAGAGGCGAGATCTGAGCCCTTACGTGATAAAAAAACCAGCAAATCTAAACAACTCTCAATTCAGCTTTCAAAGAAAAATTCGGCTTTTAATTTGCAGCCTTGGGATGAAGAATCGGAGATGGAGAAGAGAGAGCGGATGTGGCGGAAAAATGGAAGGGGAGAGTATTTATAGCAAGCGTGAGGACGAGATTGCTACGAAGTAAACGTATCGACTCGGGGGGGTCAAATGAGACGAGTGCTGAGTGCAGTATGAGAGAGAATGCGTTATGCGTCACTCACTTCGCTTTTCCGATTTTGCTTGCTTTTTGTTTCGTCTCCGAGCAATGCTAAGCACACGGGGTTAACAATTACGCATTGGACACGGCACTTTTTGCACCGTGACTTTTGAGCAATGGGTCCCACTCTAATGCTCAGCCACGGTACCAGGTAGCGCTTTATTCAATACTGACTACTGACCAACCCGCAAGATCAGGATCGTTCTTTTCCGCACTAAAAAAAGTTTTAAAAATTTTGAAAAGCAATTAAAAACCTAAAAAAACAGGGTTTTCTTATCAGTTTTCACATGGGCCAGGCCAGGCCATTCTGGGCCAGGCTGATATTATAAGCCCGGACCCGGCCCAGGATTCATAGCCGGACTAGAGCTAGAACTGATCACCATCACCTACCCCTGAGGCCCTAATTTCCACAAAGGGAAAAGGAATTGTAGGCTCAGTTGGCCTGGTACTGGTAGTTGAGATGGTCACTCCAAAAGGGAGGAGAAGTGGGACCAACCCTGCAGAATTGCAGTGAGCCTCACGTGAACCTACCCTGTTCCCACCCCTAAACCAATATTAAAGGGTAAATTACATATACGCCCCTTGGGGTTTTGGTCAAATGCCAAGATCTCTCCTCGTGCTTGCTTGTTAACTTATCCATCTCTTATTTTAAAAGTCAAATTTACCCTTTTTTAGGACTCCATTATAGTATAGATGGGATAGGTCTAATATGGTTCAATGAATACTTTGGATCATTTTGGACCTGATTCAATGTTTAGACCATTCAATCTGTTCAAATTGATTTTAATTTAGATTGGTTCTAACTCGAACCTAGTCAGTCCATTGACACCTGTATTCTAACTCGAACCTAGAACCTCCTTATATGGACAAAAATGCCTTCTTATATTTAATTTTTCCCATAAAATTTAAGGTAACAAAGAAAATTAAATAAATTAAAAGTAAATAAAATAAAATTTGGACTTTCAAATTATTTATAAATAGGATAACATCTTGCTTAAAAAACACAAATAGGATTACTTTTATAAATCTTCAAATATGTTAGAGGCAAGATTAATATTTTTATTATCGAGGGTGTTTTGGTAAAATAACTATTTAGGTGCTAACTCAATCTCTTTCCTTGGTAACCCCACCCATTTTATTTGATGACCCATAGTTAAGATGGTCATTTGGCATCCCTCCAAATATGGGCTCTCCGTAGTAAAGTAAGGTACTAAGTTCATTAGACCTCACGTGCATCTTGCCCTGTCTTCACCCCTTTAACCTGGTGTATGCAATATTCAAAAAATAAATAAATAAAGCTTTTCAAAAATCTGTTTTACCTTTTTGGCACCTTCTTTGCATGTTATAAGGACAAAAGTATCATCCTTTATGCTTTTTGAAGGGATAAGCCAATAAGCTTTTACTGCCCTGCATTAAGACGGGTAAAAATAAAAAAAAGGGTTTACTCTCAATTTGAGAAGAGTTGCAAATACAATTGCAGTATTGCACTCTCCCAATCTCAGGGAAAAATAAAATAAAAATTTAAGATGATAAAATTATATTTAGTGTTTAAAATGAAAATATTTTTATTAATTTCAAAATATATATTTGAAGTCAAAACTAATGTTTTTAATATTTTGAAGGGCATTTTGATAAAATATTGTTGAGGATTAATTTGAGAAGTCCGAAGCACATGGTGAGGCACTATTGTTTGATTGAGGGGGGATATCAAGCCCATGTTTAATTAATGCGTGTGGGCCCCACACATCCTAACAATTGATATGGGTTATCCTTTGAGTCCTTTGTGGGTCCCATATGGTTTTTATTTATTTATTGTAATTATTGACATTAATATAAAATCAACCATGTGGGTTGTATGGGTTGAGTTCATGTGCATTTATATTGATTAAGATCATTTTATGTGATTGTGGGCTAAAGTAGGTGAAGTGAATGACTAGGTTGCACTCACTCACTTAGTAGGTGTTTGGCATCGGTGCTGGAAATATCGCATCATTTTTTAAGAAAATTGATGTTGGGCATATTGAATTGTAAATATTGTTTCTGAAAAAAACGATGTTTATTTTTTGTTTGGAATCGGTGTTATTTATAAGCTATTTTTTAAGAAAATAATATTGGTTTTATTTGGTACCATTGCTTGTAACAACGTTTTTAATATGGTTTATATTATCCAACGTCCAAGATGATGCCACATCATTGCACCATTGACAGCACTGCATCGTTTTCTTAGAAAATATTGAATTTGGTGTTGCTCTAGACCACATTTTCCTGATTTCCAAGATGCGATCTGGAGCAACATTTTTTCTGGAAAAACAGTACCAAACAAGAAGATGTTATTTGAAGTATCACTTTCTCTGATCTGATGCCTACATGGCACTGTTTTCTCAGAAAACAGTATTGACGCCAAACATTATCCATTTAAAAAAAAAATAAGGCATTTAGTTGAATGGTACATAACTGTGATTATGATAAACCATAAACATTATTTATTTAAAGAAAAAACAATAAGGCATTTGTTTAGTCACATCATCCCTCGTTACTTTGTATTCCTCTTAAAAGGGTTCACTAACCATTGGCAAATCATCCGAGAGAGAGAAGGGGGATCTGAACTGTCTGACTCGATTTGGTAGGTACAATGGTTATAATGGACCAGATGGATTGGAGATAAAATCATGCACAGTATAGTAGGCTGAACAATCTAGTATTTATAAGGAACATTGATATATTCATTCATGAGTCATGATAGGTTGTTCAGCCTGTTGTGTATGATTTTGTTTCTAGCAACTTTAGATTCGTTGTACATTAGTGTGCAATTTGGGGATTCTGGATTTTCCACCCACAAGAATTCTACCACAYTTACCCACAAAACACTACCTCCCTGAATTGGAGACATCTTCCCTGCATAATAACATGTAAGGATGAGATGTTCCCCATGTGTGGTTGGGATATTATGTGGGTAGGTGTGGGTAAGAAATCTCAATTCCAATTTGGATTGAAATCTCAAATTGGGTACCTGACTTGGACCCCTATAATATGCATATGTATCAATAATTTTAATCTTAAGGCTCAGTTTGGAAAGAGTGTAAATACAATATGTACTGTGTAGGGCTGTTCATAGGTCAGGTTGGGTCGGTTTACTGAGGTTTTTCCAACCGACCCGATCTGGTCGGGTTACTTGAGATGAAAACCGAAACCGACCCAGTGTTAAGCAAAACCGACTTGGTCGATTTGAGTCGGGTTGGGTCGGTTTCAACTCTAAGTTCATCCATGCCCCCCCATGGCCACCTAGTTTTCTGGAAATATATTTAAAACTGAAATATGTATTTTAGAAATATATATATAAAACAAAAATATACATACAAATATATTGGAATATATATTTTATGGAAATATATATCTGACATATTTCATAATATATATTTTTTAGATATAGATATTGGAATATATATTTTCAGATATTTCAGTTTTTAGTTAAGTAGGAACTAAGTCGGTTCGGTTTGGGTCGGTTTCGGTTTTCACACAACAAAACCAAAACCGACCCGAACCATCGGTTTATGAATTTGTACAACCTGAAATCAACCAGTGCTGATAAAAACCCGGCCGATTCGGGTTGGGTCGGTTGGAGTTAGTCGGTTTGGTCGGGTTGGGCCTTCTTATAAACAGCCTTAGTACTGTACAAATACATACAAAATACAATATTTTGCACTCTACATATTTGTATTTATACTCCTTCCAAACTGAGCCAAAAAGGCAAAATATGTTTAATGCAACATAAGCATGGCGTAACTTTGTCCCACAGGCAACTTTAATTGGCCACCCAATTCAAGCTGAACCCCAAGATTCTGATTGGGGTTCAACAACTTGGATTGGGTCAGGATTAGCCGCAGCCCAACCTAACCAGCCCGAACTAGAACCCCTAATGACTACCAAATCCTCATTTGATTCAGATGAGTTGGGAAAAATATTGGATAAGATAGTGGCATGGGGAGATCAGCTAAGCTGTTTCAAAAATACAGTCTAGGCTGTTATGAAGCTTCATATGCATAACGCCTTGTGTGTGGGTTAAAAGGGCAATTGCATTCAATATTTCTTTTAATTAAAAAGACAGAAAAAAAAAACTTAAGTGGACTGTCTTTCTAGAGATCAGATTGGCGTCTCACCAGCGCTGCACCTCTCACCTGTGTATTGAGAATATTTCCCGGTGATGAGTATGGAAGATGTAAGCGAAATCCGTTAACATTATCACTCAGAGCCTGCAGTTACGACAGATTTGATCCCATGGCTCCACATTTGGAGAGATGCCTAATAACCATATCTATTACCGGGTCATCAGGCACCTAAGTGAGGTAACATGTCATGTGCAGGAAGCTTCAAAACAGCCCAAAATGCATTTTCCAAACAGCCATGCTTTTTCCTCGTAGGGACACAAAGCCCTCATGTATAAAGGTTTCTATTTAACTTCAAACTTGTGGCTTGGCTTCTCACTCAAAATGGTTGGTGTGGGAATTAGTTTTCATTCAAAATAAAAGTACATATGACAAGGATCTCACCCTCCCAAGCTTTATTGTTATTTCTATTCAAATTATAAATCAAATCCATTCTAGTTGTTAGAGAATATCAATCTATTCAAGGATCTCACCTAATGTTTTAAGTTTTTAGATTGAAGGTTCTTTGAGATGGTATCAGAGCCGCTTTGAACAAATAGTCTAGTGTTCGATCCTCATTACCTCAATTATAATTAATTTTCAGAACAAGGTATGAGTGGACCTATGCTTGTTCAAACTTCAAGCCCAATGGGCTTTCGTGTAAGGGGAAATGTTAGAGATATCAACCTATTCAAAGATCTTACCTAACAACTTAAGCTTTTAGGTTGAATGGTTCTTTGAGACTAATTTTCTAGCTCAACTTAACAAGCAAACGAGCAGACTTCCAAGGCTCATCACATATTAGATGGTAAATCCCAATCA